TTAATAATACACACTGTCTACTGGACTTGTCGAGCCCGTCGCAGGCTTTTTCTAATTGCAACTGCACTTGTTTACATAATCACACCCAGTCAACGTGCCAGAGTGGTTAATGGGCTGCCCTGCTATTACATCTAGCTTCCGCTGGAAAATAACACAGGCAGTGGCTTCGGTCGCGCAAGTTCGAATCTTGTCGTTGACGCATTTCCTTTTTGCTGTTTTTCCTCAACTTCATCCCGCATATTCCGCTCTCTCCGTGTGTGGTTTCGCCGCTACTTTTGAAGTTGTCGTCTGAACTTTGATTGTTTCTCCCAGCATTCAATTGAGTTGTGCTGCAGTCGCAAAGTACCTCGCACTCGGGTTTCAACGAAGATTACCCAGTGCTTGTAATATTTACTCCCTGATCTTTGCTCCATACTCGCAGCATTGAGGGCAATGCTTTCTGCTCGATTTGACCCCCCGATATTCTAATCATTACGACGCTAAGGTGTGAGATCATTGACCAGAGGAAATTGCAGTCGGAGCCAAGAGTTCCTCCAAGGACGCAGTCTCTCCGATGATCATGAACTGGGCACTTGATTGGGATGTCGACCGATGCATTTGTGCCGAGGTAAGCCTAAAATGTGGGGTCCTCATCTGGTGTTGCTCAGAATGCGCTGCTGCGACAGAGGACGGTCTAAGTGTTTTTGTTTGGAAGCAGGTGAAGGTGAACTCGGTGGGGCCCGGACACTTGAGTTTCCGGTGTACTAGTGACGTATAAAATGAGGGACATGACCTCGGTGATTTATTTGTTTGTCGATTAACGTGTACGTTACTGTGATTGCAAAAAGGTCCGGCCATTGCCTCGAGATATTCCAGCTACGTCCATTAACACCGGAAACGATAAGACGCAATACCACATTCCAAGCGAAATATCAACAGGATGGCAACAGAAGAACCCAAGGTGAAGCTCTACTGGTAAGTCTCCGTGAAGCACAGTCTCGACAGACCCTCACATGGAACTAGGCTGGAGCAGTCCAGAGCCCAGAATATCCTTTGGCTGCTCGAAGAGCTCAAAATCAAGTATGAAGTGGAGGTCTTCCATCGCAACAAACAGACTCTGCTTGCCCCTCCAGAGCTAGCCAAGGTTCATCCCCTCGGCAAGTCTCCAGTCATCGAGATCTTCCCAGGTGGCTCTGGAGAGTCAATCAAGCTGGCAGAGAGCGGTTACATGACGCAGTACCTGTGTGATCACTTTGGCAAAGACTCCGGTCTTATCCCCAAGAAGTGGAAGGACGGCCAAGAAGGCAAAATCGGAGGAGAGACCGAAGAGTGGACGAGATGCCAGTATTATCTGCACTACGTTGAAGGAAGTCTGCTTCCAGTCTTTACCTTGTCTCTGGTCATCTCAGGTTGGTCTACCTCTCATGCTTCAATTGAGCATCTTGTTGGATCTCGCAACTAACACGCCTCGTCAGCCCTCAAATCGGACAATGTCCCCTTCATCGTCCGGCCCATCACTTCGGTGGTCGCAAACAGGATCTTCAGCATGATGATCTTCCCCAACGCCAAGAAGCATCTGTCCATGATTGAGGAGCATCTTGCAACTGCTCCAGGTGGAGGAGACAAGTACATTTGCGGTCCCAACTTGACGGCTGCCGATATCCTGCTCAGCTTTGCGCTCATCGCTGCTGAGGGCAGGCTCGACGGATTTGGAAATTGGCCAGGAGGTTCAGCCAAGAAAACTTACCCCAAGGTATTTGCGTATATTGAGCGACTCAAGAAGGAGCCCGGGTATGAACGATCTGCTCAGAAGATCCGCGAGATTGATGGCAAGTTCGAGGCCACAATCTCTCGATTCTAAGGGGTATGGGGTTGGGACACTGGTGGGCGGAGAACATATACCACTTTGCATTTGTTTTATTTTTTTCCTTTCCTGTCAGTAAAGCTCCAGTCGTAACATTGCTACGTAACCACCAAATAAAAACGTCACTTGATCTGGTGATCTGAAGCTTAACAGCTTTCGTGAAAGTGTGAGAAGCGAGCCTGGGCCCAAGCTCTCTCGGATAGGTACGTCTTAGCGCTACAGCCAATGGACAGGGGTATTGGTCACCAAATCGGCGTGCATCCTTCCGTGCCCCGACCTTTCGTCCTGGAAAATTTATCGAAAACCACCAACTTGCAGCTCAACGCAAGCCTCCAAACCCACGTCATACGGTTGCTCGCCCGATTGCCAGACGCCATGCTGGCTTCGAGGACGGTATGCGCTCGCTGCCGGACCAGGCTTCTGGCCGGCGCGATCGCTGCCAGCACCACACGCCCAAACTCGACAGCAAGTTTCCCCTCCGTCACTGCCGAGCAACCCTCCGACACTACAGCGCAGCCACCGCGGGCCGAGGCCTCTGAGGCTTCTCCAAACAAGGCCCGATCAAGAAGATCAAAGAACGACGCCGATGCGAAGAAGCGAGCGCTGGACTTGTTCGAAAGCGCCATCAACAAGAGCAAGGGCGAAGAAGCCGTGGCGCAGGAGACGCCGTACGCCTTGGAGAAGCTGGCCCGGCTTGCCAAAACACTCGATACTGTCCTGAACTCGAATTTGAGGAAGAATATCACTTTCGAAATCGCAGCGAGGAACTTCGTTATGCTGAAGACAGAGGTCTTGCCAAGTTTGCGAAACTCGAAGGCACCACAACCTATCTTGATGGAAGCTGCGCAAGCATTGCGACAACTTATAGACTTCAAACTCGTCAATACGCATGCGAAAGAACTTCCGAGCCTGACAGATCTCTGCCGACTCATGTCTGATTTCGGAAATGTGAAGCCTCAGTCGCGTTTGCAGTTCATTAACACATTCCTTAATGCAATCTTGCCAACGCTTCCCGAAGCAAAAGATACCGCCAATATGGAGTCTGCAACTGTGGAAGAGAGGTTACTACAGGATCTTGTCGATTTCTGGAAGCATTTTACTGCGTTGCGGCGAGTGGACAGCGGTCTCGGATCCGAGCCGAAATTCTGGCTCACCTCGAGACCGGACTTGCGCAGCAGCGACCAGCCGGTGAAACTCTTCAGGCTGCTACTGCATTCCGTAGCAGCCAATGTGGTCGGATTGGACACTGCGTTAGTGACTACGTATGTCCTGCTTTCAGACCCTGCGTATGAACACACAAAAGCGAGGGAAGATGCGGCGCCTCTCCTCGAAGCGTTGGAACCTATTATCAAGCGTTTCGACCGCGAAAAACTTCGCCCTCTATTTGAGGCGCAACCCAGGCTGTGGCAGTTTGTTGAACCAAGGGCAGACTGGCGGGTCATTCAAGCGGCTCCCAACGTTTTGAGTGAGTCCGCCACTGCTGCGCCAGACGGCTGGACCCCAAAACATGGCAAATTCGCCTACGCACTGTGGCACAAACGCTTCAACATGGCGTACCGTGGAAACGACCATGCAGCCGTGCAGCAGGCTTGGAGAGATCTTATCAAGCCACCTAATGATGCAAGTCGGGCGGGCAAACTCCGTAGATGTCCTGAGCTGTTTGATTACATATTGCACATTGCCTGCCACAAATCTCGTTATGAGAAGGCGATATACACGCAGGTCATCTCCGAGGTTTTAGAATACATGAAGGCCATCGGCCTCGAGCCAACAATCAGGACATACACCTCTATGATGGAGGGCTGGAAGCTGGCAAAGCGAATCGAGCCTATCGAACACATGTGGGAGTCTATCACGGCAGCTGGGCTGAAACTGGACCATCAGATTTGGTCAAGTAGGATATCTGCGCTTGGCGGGCTTGGAGCAGGATGGGATGGCATCAGAGCGCTCACCCAGATGGATAGAGCGTGGCAAGAGGCAGTAAAGAACGGAAGAGAGGACCAGGCTCTTAAACCTGCCATGTCGAACGTAAATGCGGCCATATCCGGGCTTCTGTGGCGAAACCGCATGGACGGCGTGAAGAAGGTCTTGGAGTGGGCTTCTGAGAGGGGCCTGCAGCCAGACATTTACACCTTCAACATGCTTCTCTCCAGCATGTTGAAGCAAGGTAAACACGAGGAAGCGGACAGAATACTAGTCAGCATGAAGGCGGCGGGTGTCAAGCCAGACGGCGCCACTTTCACTATCATCATGGACACCGCCTTCGCCGACATATCCCAGCAGTCGCCCGAGGAGCAGAAAGCCACTATTGGGAATGTCTTCAGGGAAATGGAGGCCTGCGGTATCGACCCGAATCAGGAGACGTACGCCAAGATGATACATTCTCTCATCAGACAGGGCGACGTCGCGCGGTCGTCCATCACAGCCATCCTCGCTCACCTGCGCGCCACCGGCCAGCAGCCCTCCACCGAGATCTGCACCATGCTCGTCGAGTACTTCATCGACCATCAGCCCGACCTCGACACCGTTCGTGCTCTCGTTGACGACCGCCGGTCCCGCGCACGCGCTCTGACGGACCGCGTCTTCTGGGAGACCGTCATCAAGTACTACCACCGCGCAGACGATCTCGACGGCGCTCTCGAGATTGTGTACGACCTCGACGACTGGGGTATCTGGCCCGGCCTGCCGCTGCTGGAGCCCTTGCTCCGGTCACTGCTTCACCGCAAGGACTGGGACGCCGCTAAGAAGCTCGTGGGCACCGTACGGCGACAGCCCCGTCCGGAGGCTGCTGACCGAGAAAGTCGGTACTGGAGGCATGCTTTCTGGGCTGTGGCAAGGGACTACGACTTGATTGATCACAACGCAGAGGTGGTGCACAATTAGTGGAGGTGGCCCTCCCCTTGTACGATGTCGAAGAGACTGTTGTACAACACGTTAGAATACTAAAACCCATGCCTCTTCATTTGCAGCTTCTGTTGAATATGGTTTCCCCGAATCATGGTCTGATCGCAAGCTCCATATATGCTCACCGGCTGGTGACTCAAACAACCTCCAAGTGTCAACCACGGCGGCAACACTTTGCGGAGGAATCTATTCATGACAGTGCCCAAGTTGCGGCCCGAAACCTCCAATATGCTCTCATGCTCCGAGATAGAATCTAGCCAACAGCACGGAGAACATACTTAATCCCCTCCCAGTGCTCCTTGACCGTCGGCCGAATCAACTCCGGAGGCAGCACAAAACCACCGGCACCACTGGTTTTAGGCCTCAACTCAACGCTCCAAGAATACGTCGCATTCAGCGCGCCATGATGGAAATCCCTCGCAGAACCAGTGGAGTAGTACAAGATCTCACATGAAGGCCCGACCTGATACTCCTCGCCACTCGTAGCATTAATAGCAGCAGCGTAACCGCCGCCAACATCACGCTGTGCCTGTAGGTTTTTGGGGAGGACATCCGGCGCGCAGGAGAACCCCCAAGGCAGGAGGATGAGTTGCGAGTAGCTGTGCCAGTCAATGAAGAGCCGAATGCCTCCCGGCGTGGCGGCTAGCTTGCGGGAGAGAGCGGAGAGAACGACGTTCTCGGTCGTATCACCTGGGCTGAGGCCTCGGAAAGTCTGGCTGCAGGGATCTGAGGAAACGCTGCCGTCCTCGAGGGGGTAGTTCCACTGAAAGTCCCAGTTACGATTGCCGTCAGTGCCGATACAGGTTACGTTGGAGCGTGGTTGGCGGTTCTTCCGCCAGAGACGATCTGTCGTTTGCGTATATACGAAGCCTTGATGGAAGTTAGTGGATTGAGGAGCACGAGTGGGACGGGACGGGGAATTCTTGCCGTCTGGATTGTGGAAGGGCACGATGTAGAAGTCGTAAGCGTCGAAGAATGCTGTGACGTTCTTGTTCCCCGACCGATAGCCTTCGATGAGCTGGTAAGTCAGGTATTCGACGGTCTGCATCAAGATGTTAGTACATACGACGTCATCTCATTGGAAACGCTACTTACCATGGTTGTGATCCATTCTCTGGCGTGAACGGTACCGTGCCAAAGGACAATGGGTTTGTTCTCTGCCGGTTTTCCACCCCAAAGCTTCAGCCCAAAGATGTTGCGACCTTCGTACGAAGATCCAATGTCCAGCCACTGCGAGTTGTTTGGGAACGCAGCATGAAGATCCTTCCAATATTGTACGTGGTCATCATATGAGTGGTAGGAATCGAACCAGCTTAGACTTGGCAAGCCGCCCCGTTTCGTCAATGGGGTAGAGCTAATGACTCGAGATTCTTCCCTAATCTGGTTGCCCAAGTCGTTGCTCAGAAGTTGGGCATCAAGTCTCAAAGCCTCGAAGCCGCCGATATCATTTGGCGGAACCGCGACCTCAATGAAGTCTTTCAAGTCAATTGAAGGAAATGACACTAAACGGGATTGGAGGTCGCTGGGGGCATTGGCGGTTGAGACCCGGTATACATGGTAGCCATCGTAATTGACTTTTGCGTCTCGCGGGGCGTTGCTACCGGTGATTTTCACAGCAGAAGCTGCGACGAGTGGTGACAAGATCGCCAGGCAATTGGCGAGCTTCATGATGACTTTGAGCTTGGCCCGACTGCTAGTGTTGCTCGGAATGGCATCGCATACTGGCCTGGAAATAACATTTGAACCAAGGAGACTTTATACGCGCAAGTTTAATGGGCTTCCTCTTGGCTCAATAAACTCAACAGGGGCAAAGTGAGGGGTTCACTCTTGATAACATGCAAGCCAAGACCAGGGTGCTTGGATGACGTTCTGGAAAGCCTTTGCTTGGTAGCATTCTGATATTTCTTTCGTGAAATGGTCTACTATTTGATGGAGGTAGCCTGTATAGGTTCGCCGTGGTGTTGCATGGAAATGCAGAGCTACTCCCAGAAAAGTAGGTGCGAAGCATTTCGGGGTCTAAGGCGACTCCAACTTCCACATTACGTTTGCTTGGCATCGAGGATAACCGGCCACTTTAGTTGAACCTTCCGTCTGCGGATGCGGAAGAAGCATAGGGTTACTTGGATCTGGCGCACTGCCAGCATGTCAACTTACGTGAGTCATTCGGCGGTTTTGGACTTTTGGCCAAGAATTAGGATTTATATGCTGGCGATCACGCACTCGCAAGGCCTGCTCCGGAATAGTCCCGGCGAGCCCGGCTCTTAACGGGATCCACTTTTCGGTTCTCTTCCGTATTCGTACCCGACACATCCGGATGTCACACGGAGCCGGTTCGAGCAGCATTGTGTCTACCTAGGTAAGGTAGTGTTCTTTGGCAGCCAAAGTGACTCGTTCATTACTAAGTTATATAGCCCACCAAATATCCGGGGAACATTAGTGAGCTAGAACTCCGTATGTGTAATTGTACCAAGCAGTAGGAGTGTTGTGTGAATATTGGCCGCCTTTTCTGGACCAGCCTAAATCCGGCCTTCGAATCCGCAAAGCTCTATCTCAGATTCCTCATAGGAAAAACAACAAGCAGCGGGATTTCATGCAAAAGGATTTCAGATTCTGTGCTAGTCGGGCGTGCGGGTGAATGATTGAGCACACCTTAGCTGGAGTTCATCCTACTTAGAATCGGACCTATGCTCCGGCGTGCGCCCCCTAAAGGCTCCACTAGGCTGCTCGGCGTCGACCGGTTTGGACCCCAAACGCCAACCCCAATTCACCTTACAGTTTACCTGAGCGTCCCTTGAAGCTGCAGTAAGTACAGATGGTCCGACGTCACAGGTGCCTGTGACAGCCGCCACTTTCTATAATTTTTTTTTTCTCTCCAACTTCGACGCGTCGTCTATTTTTTCAACACGAGTGTTTCCTAGCAAAAACATCGAATTATTGTCGCCAAACGCCAGCTCTACGACCTACGAGCGACTTTTCTGTCGCGGAATAATCGCACTGCGAAATGGGCTAGAAATCACAACCGAAATATCGATACCGACCGACGCGATGGCTACCGAGAGCTCCAAACCTTCGTCGCGCGACGAATCTTCCGACTCTGGAAGCGGCAGCGACAGCGAAAATGAAATCCCATCGGCAGCCACGCCGACAACGGTCGAATGGCTTGCAACCGGCCGTGCAAAACGTTCCACAGCCGGCAACCGAATGAAGTCGATGCTGGCCAATGAAGAACCCGACTCCGATCTCGAGCTCCTGTTTGCCGAAGACGACAACGACGAGGGCTTCACCGATGTCGACGATGGCGGTTCCGACGTACAGATGGACTCGTCATCCGACGACGAAGACGAGCAGAACCAAGCGGACGATATGGAAGGAGAAAAGGAGCTTGAAAAGCAGGCCAGGGAGAAGAAGGCTGCGGCGCGGAAGCGAAAAGCCCAGGAAGTCATACCGGCCAAGTTCAGGAAGAAGGTTCGCATCGATGCAAATCAGAATACTGCGCCAGCTCCACGGCCCAAAAAGAAATCAGAACGATCAAGTTGGCTACCGTCGCCTGCCGACATGCCCGTCCGTGCCTCGTCCCGACAGACAACAGTGCTCAGCAAGGAGCAGCTGCATCAACAGATGAAGGAACGAGAAGCGAAGCGCTTGAAGCAGGCGAAAGCAATGGAAAAGAAGGCCCAGAGGCTTGCGGAATCAAAGAAGCCCCCGATGACACAAGCAGAGCGACTCGCTGAAGCCGCCATTGTGGAAAAACGGAACTCCAAGTCTCTGAACAGATGGGAAGAAGCGGAGAAGGCTCGTGAGGAGGAGCGGCTGGCCAAGATTGCAGCGCTGCAGAATCGCACGCTCAAGGGACCTGTCGTGACGTACTGGAGTGGCCTGGGCGAATGGGAGCATCATTTGAAGCATGTTGGCAGGGTCGCGGAAGAAGAGAAACCTGTGCGGAAGAAGCGGGAGAAGAAGGAAAAGCCAGAGAAGGGCAAAGGCAAGGAAAAGGACGCGAAGGCAGGCGAGAAGGCGGAGGAGAAGAAGGGAGATGGACCAACATCCACTGCGACTCCTACGCCTGGGCCCGAGACTACGCCTTCGAAGCCGGCAGACGGACAAGGGGAGTCGAAACCTGAAGCTCCATCAGCGCCATCAGTATCGACAACTGGTGACGCGCCTCAGACAAATGGTACCACGAAGGCACCATCGCCACCCACGCCATCTCCAGCAACACCGGCGGAGGCAACTCCAGCCATCAAAAAAGAAGACCGACCCAGCGTCATGGCACCTCCGTCTATGGTACCGCCTTCATTAGCCTCTCCTTCGTGTGCGCCTCCATCTCTGGCAGCACCTCCATCTCTGACACCTACAATTCCACCACCGGCAACAATCTCACCTGCACCCCCACAACCTGAAAATGAGCCAAGACTCATGGCACCACCATCAACATCACCTCCACCATCAATGAGCGCACCGTTAATGGCTCCTCCGCCAATACCTCCTCCGCCAAAGACTTCGGTCCTTGCGGCTCCAATCCTGGCACCACCAGTCCTCGCGCCGCCCCTGGGAGGCATACACCTTGGACACCACAACTCACAACCTAAATCCAACGTTCTCGCGCCGCCCAACACGTCACAACATCGATCTCCTCTCTCCATGCCCGCTCCGCCTCCACCTCCAACGGCGAGACCGCCACCTCCGCCACAGGCACCCCTTCAACCGACTCAACCTCGAGCTCCCCCAAAACCTCCCGTTGTAGCTCCGTCACCACCGCCGCCGCCTGCAGATCCCCCAAAGCCCGAAGAGCAACCACCAAGCGAGGTCGCTCGCAGCGCATTCATCCTCCGCAACTTTGATGAAGACCTGATCAAGGATAAGACAACCCAGACGCAGATTCTGTTCGGACGGAGGATGGACCGCCTTGCGAAGCCCGCCCATCGCCCAGTCTGCGTCATCACGGCTCACCCTGCTCGCTACCGGGACCCTGATACGGGCCTACCTTATTATGACGTTCGTGCCTACCGGGAGATTCAAAGACTCCGTCGTGGTGAGTACAAATGGAGCAGTCTGCTCGGCGCCTGGGTCGGCAGTTGTACCTACGCAGCTCGTGGTGTTCCGGAGAGGTTCCTAAAGGGTGACGGCAAACCCAAGCCCAAGCCAAAGGAGATGGAGGTGGACGTCACCATCGGGGCACCCTCCGAAAAGCAAGAAGGCAAAGAGGACAAGACCGCCTCGCCCCCACAAGAAGGGGGGAAGGAACAGCCGGAAACGGTGGCGGAGAAGCAAACGGTTCCAGCCCCGTCTCCGTCCGCACCGCAGACGCCGCAAGCGCCGCAGGCCGTGGCCCAGGCGCCAGCCCAACCTCAGACTCAGGAAGCGAAACCGGCAGCCACCGAACCTACAACGGCCCCTGTAGCCGCTTCGGTCGCGACAGCAGTCTGAGTAAGAAGAGACTTTGGTGGTTGCGTCCCTGAATAATGGCGGCGGGAGAACGCCTAAAACCTCAGACGCTCTTTATAGGCTCCTACCGATCAGATCGGAACGAGGGCCGAAACAGGAACGGGGGGGTTAGGGGAACGTAGGGGAAGTGGAGGGCGGGCAGCCTGTGCATGAAGAAGCTTGTTTGCCCGTTGGTGTTGACGCCCGTAATGAACCGCTCTTGGTCTGTAATCATATCTCTATATCGTATGTAACAATACTCTCAGGGCGCTTCTTCGAAGCCAGCCTCTGACGTCTCGAGAATATCTCGAGCAATACATGTTCTGCCTCACAAGGTCGCCGAACCAATCTCTCTCACGTTCTGGAATCTGCATCAGGTCATCAAACAAGATTACCTAGAACGCTAGAATTTCAAGTTCACCAGCTTCACGAACGCACCCACTCGCAGTACACCCCACCCAAAAGACATCGGGTGCTGCCACACATCGGAGCACTTGGGGCAGAAACGTTAAACGGGGCTCCGGCCGGAGATGTGTCGGCGCCGGAGCTCTCTCTATCATTTCGTCCTGCTGCAAACAATACAGGTATTAAGGGGGTCAGGAACAAACCGGAAGGTGTTAGAGAGGGCGGCCCTGTCCACTGGAAGGGGTGAACTTGCCAAACGAAAGGAAAATAGACGTTGACGGGCACACAGTAGCATGAAAAACGTTAAAATTGAATTGTCTTGGAAGTGTCGTTGAGGGTGTGCTGGCGTGGTGCGAAGACTCGAAATATGCTTTCCTTCACAGACGGTACAGATCCTTTCTCATGTTGGGACGTTTTCAATCTTCAGACCAGGCACACTGAGATGAGAAGACTCTCTGTCGTTGGCCGGCGACCTTAGTCACAGCTCGACCCGTTCAGCCATTCACACCCTTCGTCTCGACTCTCACTACACGCAGCTCAAGTTTTTCTCATTACTCGTGTGCGTACAGTCTATCCCGTGTAAGCATAGTCAGGCACACACACAGAGTCACACAACACCGCACGGGGAGGGCGACGACGAGGAGGGCAAGAAAGGCACCTACACACCATCTTTCGTCCTCCCTACCCAACCGTCGTTACGTACGCACGCAGCGCACGCACATAACTCACCCACACGTAGACCACCACAGAAGGGGAGAGAGTGCGCGCGCGGGCAGGTTTGCTGCAACACAGACGCATGATTACAATTAAGCTCTCATCAAAGCACACCAGACACATAAGACTCTCACACACCCACCCACTCACCCATCTTAATCCATCCCAAGCTTTCGGGTTCGATATCGGATTCCCGTCTGCCCCCCACCGGCCACCACCCGCCGTCCGTCAACCTCGTCCACTCATTCAGGCACTACACTTTCACTTCTCATTGACAGCCTCATCGGACGAGTGATCAGGTCTGGGCAGGTCCAGGGGAAAACTGCATCCACCCGAAGGGAAAAGGACGTGTTTGAAGATCGCCTTGCTTAACGTTCACGTGGTGCTGGCTGACCCCCTTGACACTCCCACCACCACAGGCGCCTTCCCCGAGCGAATTACAAGCCAGTTATCCGTCTTGGCGGGGACCTGCAGAACGACAACGAGACTGAAGACACCAAGAAAGAGAAAAGATGGGAGGATTTAACTCGCACGAACATGGACCAGCTCACCACAGGCCGCTGTAATGCTCGCGGCCCTTCGACCAAACCCATCTCGACCGTCCCTCTCTCGGCCGTGAATGTAGGGCTCGTAGCTTTCCTCCACGGCGGCCCCGAAAAGGGGACTGCGGACACACGCATACCACCACCACCACCACCATCATCATATCCTGCGATGCTATATCGTCCGTTTTACCCCCCGAATAAGATTAAGAGAAGGTCGTGTCGTCACCACCCTCAATACGCAGGTACGCACAAAAAACCTGCTTAAGCTTGCGTACCTGAGCTGGAAGAATGAGGGCAATCCCCCCCTCACGAGACCTTCACCATGCTGCTCAACACCCTCTTAGCCTCTGCGCCCCCGCCTCACTAGTACATGCAGCAAGCAATGCGCACGCACGACGGGCGTCCGAAAGAGGGGGAAATTAGAAATCATGAAGAATGTCCGTCTAGAGGAAGTATCGTCAAATTCGAAAACCTGATTAGCCCAATTGTTGCTTTCCCATCAGGAAGAGGAGTAATCCCGCGCTACGCGTGTCTCGGTCGGCGACTCCGCTCGACGACGACGATTAAGAACATGCGGAAAATGAATCCAGCATTCAGTCTCGAGACTAAACTTTTCCATCATCTTCGATCTGCTGCATAACGCCAGTCAGTACATCCTCCCCACCTACTTCGCGTTCCCGGCCACTGGTAACTTGATCAGCAAGCTAAGCTTCTTTGACGGGTTTGATCTTCCTCTCACACTTGCACACACACAGCACCTGACTGACTACTGGGCCACGCGGAACTTGGACATATGGGAAATGAGAAGCCGCCGAGCCTCATGTTCGTGCGCCCGTGCCCTGCTGCCCCAGTTTCGATGTGCTTCCTGTTTGGATGCTGTGAAACCTGCTGCGAAGATGTGTCTTGGCTTTTCGTCGCAACCGGCCTATTTTCGAATCAATGCTTGAACCCCAAGTTCTCCAGATGGCGGGCTGTATGTGTTATCTTTAGATCGTAAGAAACATTGGCAACATTGGCAAAGTGGCTGGGCAGGCACTTTGGTTGGGCGGTGTAAGTCACGCGCAAAGATCACAATGTTTGTAGATGCAAAAGTTTCTTGAGTCATTGCAGATGTTTCATTCGTCACCTAGCAAATCCATACATCGTTCCGCATGGCACGTTGCCAAGCTCATCGCCATCAACGGCGCACGTTGTCATCCAGTCCTTCTGGCTGGCCTGAAAGCCGCAACAAAGAAATCCGACTAGATACTCCAAGCACCGCCGCGATGTAGATGCCCATCCCCAACTTTTTGCGCCGAATAAAAATCACAAGAGGGCAGCTTTTTGAAATGCCTGCGAACTCTCCATCCCATTTTCCCCGAATCGCTCAAAAATACCCACTCCATAAAGCGCTGTCGGCGTGATAGCCGAACCATGAGTGGAAGTAGTAGAAGGGGAAGTGAAAATGGGGTATATCCTCGTCCAGTACTCCGCAAAAATCCTTGCCGCCGTTTGTTCGTTTCTCAGTGGCTTACCCACTTAGAATGCTCGTATACCCTTCTTAAAGAACAGGGGAGCTAATGCAAATATGAGAACTGTTGTATAGCCGTGTCTATGTGTGACGTTACTGTAGGTGGTTGTGTGTCTGTGGTCGTCCATGTGTGGGACAAACCGGGAAGACTCTGTTTAGACACCCTTGCCCCGGATAATGTCGACCATCCAACCCATCTCGTTGACCAGGTCATCGAGCTGGTTGTCGGTAGGTGCGGAGACCACAGTGGTGGTGACACCTGGGTGGTTTTTGATACCAGGTGCACGGGGCAAACTGTAGTTCTGCTCCAGAGACGGCTTTCTTGAGCCGGGTAGGGATAGAGGCTGAACGTAGTTGACATCACTCTCGTTAGAGAAGCGGTCGTCGTCTGTAGAGTCGTAGAAGGAAGGAGCCTCATCCTCAGGGGAGATGGGCTCGATAGAAGAGGCGACGCTTGAGTCGGATGAGAATGAGAAGCGTGAGGCAGGAGGTATCTCCTCAAGTTCTCTGATAGGCAGAGGAGGAAGGGGAGAGTACTTCTTCTCACGGGTGAGGACTTTGACGTTGCTCACAGTGGGTAGTGTACTATCAGAGTGGGAGCGCTTGAATGGCGGTGGTGAAAGGCTGGTAGCGTAGTGGTTGATCTCCGAGAGGGCTGAAGAGGCAAAGTTCTCATCATCCTCGATCTCTTCCACAATATCATCAGGAATGTACACAGTAGGCCGGTTCTCGTTAGCCCTTGCGAACGGGTTCTCATCAGAGAGGAATCTGCGCAAGCTCTCAGGGGAGAGATCGCGAGTGCGGCTGCCGTCTGAAGACTCGCTTCTGCTGTCGTCGGAATGGGTGTATGAGTACGGAGAAACAGGACGCTCATCATCGTCCATCTGGCGTCCACGCTCAGTGCTGCGGCTGGTAGAGGGCTTCCTGGAGAAGAGACGGCGCCATGTTGGTGGTGGTGAAGTTGAGCCAGAGCGTGCAATCGCCCTTGACGGTGGAGCCGCGGGGGCGGAGCCCAGGCGCTGGTGGGGGCTGCCGGGGATGGGTGGTGGTGGGCGTGGAGTGATGAACTTGTCCTCCGGATTCATGGTCCTGTACTCGCCTTGGTGAAGAGAGCCCAATGATGCGCTGCGCTTGCGTTCCGCCGCCATCTCATATGGAACTTCCAGAGTGTTTACGGTTTGTCCTGGCAAATACGGGCATTGCGTGGTGGTCGGCAGAGCAGGGTTGTGAGCTTCATGGGTACCGTCAAGCTCATACTGAGACGTGTTAGCCAATGTCGATGGCATTTCAGCCACAAGACCATTGCTCACGTAGTAGTAGTAGGTGTTGCCCATCTTCAAGCCACCGTTGCGCTTCTTGTCCCGCGCTCCAAAATCATCGTCGATGGTGATATCGTTGAAGGTGTGGCACCCGCGCCATTGGCCGCGATCTCGTCGAATGTCTCGCTCCATTGTGTATGGTTTGGAAAAGTTGTCCCAAGATCCAACCAGCTTTACTGTTCTTACGGAAGGGTGTGTTTGGCTGCAGGTCGACTTGGTTAGCAAGATGATACTTGGGGATGTCAAGACATTATATATCACGGAAGCTCGAGGATGTTGACAGTGATGCATGCAGTCAGCCGCTAGGCTCACGCCGAGCCTCAGGCCTGGGTGGCCCTTGTACCTGTCCCCTCCCGAAAGCGGACGAGGTGCCGACCAAGGTCGGCGATGCCTTTTGGCTTTGGCAGGCGTTTGACGGAGTTCTCGGAAGGTTGCCGTTGGGCTCATGATGGAGGGTGGAAGAAGAGGAACGGGCGCAAGCCAGGGCCGGGGACGTAGGGCATAGCATAA